CAACAGCCTTGTGATCCAGAAATTCCAATTCTATGAATTTATCCTAAAGAATTCATTAAGGATACATGTAAAGATTAGCTTAAAGGTTGTTATCATAGCATTAGTTATATGTGGCAACAGTATGAATGTCCTGCAACAGGGAATAGATTAAATAAATGACCTTCCTTATCTGTGTTTCAGTCCCAGTTCTAGCAATTATTAGCTGTATTACTAGGCAAGTTGCTTAATTTCTCTGGCCTTCAGTTTGCTAAATTTAAAATGGTGACATTTGGGAATTCCCTGACAGTCCAGTGGATAGAACTCTGTGCTTCCTCTGTAGGGGGCATAGGTTCAATCCCTGGTCAGGGAACTAAGATCCTACAAGCCACAGAGTGCGGCCAATAAAAAATGGGGACAGTGGAACAATAATAATATCTATATCATGGAGTTGTAAGAATTGAGTGATCTAAGATATGTCTGGCACATAAATAGGTGCTTCTTATTATGGTACTTCTATAATAATGGTGTTGCAGGTGAATTTTAACATGGAAAGCCTTTAAAAATGATGTTGCAGATAAATTTTAACATGGAAAGGTACTTGGAATGTATTTGGGTTTTGTTTTGCTTCTGTTTACCATGCAGTACAAAAGAGGCAAACAAAGTGTTTTATATCTAGATTTTACTTCTGACTCCTTCGAATATTCATTTCTTTGACTAAAAAGAGAGACTTGCTTGGAAAACCAGGAGTGCTTAGGCAGCATGGGGGAAAAGGCAGTGCTAATGTCATCCTCACAGGGGTGGGCACAAGGGGATTGATAATAGCAAACTGATTTTGCAGAACTGTCAGTTGGAAGCACAGACGGCCCACCTCTGGACACTTGTGCCATGTCAGGCGTCACCCCTACAACCCAGGCAAGGCCACACTTCCTGGCAGTCACTCTTCCTGTCCTCCTGAATGCTGTAGTACAAGGCCCCACGGCACTTTCCCTTAAATTCAGACCCAATTTTTAATGTGTCCCCTTCCTTCACTGCAGGATACCATGATTCTAATTAGGACCTTATCATGAGTTCCCTTGCCCTCGGTGGAGTTGTACAGTCAGTCAGCAAAATACAGAGGCTTCTGGTTCTAAATACACTGGACCAGATTCAGGAAAGCATTTTCCTTTCACCTCCTTCTTGATTGTAAGGGCTATAGCTCTTGTACCTTTCAAATACTTTCTGGAGGTGACACTTGATGCTGATCTACTTGGGGACATCAGTTCCTTTCCTCCTCATTCCAGCATTCTAGAGGTCTCAGTTATCTTGGTCCAGTCAGTTCATAGTCAATGATAGAGCCATCCTCTGCTCTTCTACCCTTTCCAAGGGCAACAGTCAACTTGCAGAAGTTGCCAGATGTATTAGAAATAATGTCATTCTCCAGATCAGTCTTGTACATTTCCTTGTAGACTTTTTATTTGCTGTAGCTCCTGGTTGGTCCTTGAGGAGGTGATTTCAATGAGAGTTTTCATCAGTCACCAGCCCCTTCACAGAGCTGCCATTCAGCTTGGAATCCTTGTACTGGGCAGGTGTTTTCAGAAGGCCCTAAATCATCTTCTCCAGGTGGCTGGACAAGTCTGACTTCACTGCTGATGCAAGTCCCTTTTCGGTCCTTCTCTGACAGGCAAAAGTAATATTATGCCTCTGTTCTTTGCTGTAGATGGTCAAATTGTTGATGATGATGACTTCAACCACATCTTTAGTCCTGATGGCCATTTCAGTGTTCAAAACATCCCACTCAGTATCAAAGTTGGTATATACTTTGACTAACATGTATGCATTTGAGGGTGTATAGTGGTCACCTTGGGAGAAGGTGATGGCACCCCTCTCCAGTACTCTTGCCTGGAAAATCCCAGGGACGGAGGAGCCTGGTAGGCTGCAGTCCATGGGGTCGCTAAGAGTTGAACACGACTGAGCAACTTGACTTTCAATATTCACTTTCATGCATTGGAGAAGGAAATGGCACCCCACTCCAGTGTTCTTGCCTGGACAATCCCAGGGATGGGGGAGCCTGGTGGGCTGCCATCTATGGGGTCGAATAGAGTTGGACACGACTGAAGTGACTTAGCAGCAGCAGCAGCAGCAGCAGTGGTCACCTTCTAAACTGCACTCGCACAGAATTTAATGAACAGTAGACATTTTGATAGAACCTCAGGTGCTCCAGATGCAGAGCTGGCATGTGTTATTAGAAAAAACAAAAAAACTCAAACTGGAAAAATAAACACTGAAATATTTACTATGGTCATTTCTGGATAGTGGGGTGATGCTTTTTTCCTTATTAATTATGTTTTATATTGAGCATGTATTGATTGTTTCATAATGAGAGAAAGTGAGTTAATTTCTGTTGAAAAAAATTAAAGATCAGGATTAATAGGTTGTGAATCTGCTTAGTATGTATGATGTTGTAATGGTGGATTTGTGTTGCCATACATTTGTCTGAACCCATGATGTGTAACACTGAGAGTGAACTCTAATGTAAGTTATGAACTTCGGTTGATGATGTGTCAATGTCATTGAACCTTGGCTGTTTCCTCCACCTTCTAGAAAATAATAAGAAAAAAACTGATTTCAGAACTATCTTAAGCAAAATATAATTGGTGAGGTAGGGCAGGAGGAGAAGGGGGTGACAGAAGATGAGATGGGTGGATGGCATCCTCGAGTCAATAGGTATGAGTTTGAGCAAGCTCTGGGAGTTGGCGATGGACAGGGAAGCCTGGCATGCTGCAGTCCATGGGGTCGCAAAGAGTCAGACACAACTGAGTGATTGAACAAATCTCCTTTAAAGTCATATGATAAAATTTAAAACCTAATAAAAATTCAGACTATTTGCTTCAAAAGAACACTTGTTTATCCAACACACATTTTCTGAGCACTCATTCTTTTCCCCCACTCCACCAGCAACCAGCTCCTCTTACTGCCTTTCTTGGCCACTATCTATAGTTTCAGCTGGAATCCTCAGGCCAGTCTTTAGTTCCTTTTACTTTCTTATCATTTCTCCAATCTGCCTCCTTATCTTTATCCCTCCCTGTTTCGGTCAAACCCTTGTCATCTTTTGCCTGGTCCATGACCCTGCTTCTAGTCCCTCTTCCCTCCACCCTCAATTTGTTCTGCATTCACTGCTAGGGTTGCCTTTCTACAACAGATATGATCTTCTTGTCTAAAATACCCTTGAGGTTTAAGAACTCAGACCTATTCTTTAGGTTTCCTATTGGGCTCAAAGGCTAAAGTCCAAAAGCAACAACCTGGTTTCAACCAAATTTCTCCCTCATGCCCTACCATATGCCAAGTTTCAGCCACCCTGAGCCTCTCTGTTCCCCAAACATGCCTCTCTGCCTGAACATCTCTTTTCACCCTCAGAAATGGCCTCCTTTCTCTTCTCTATCTAATGAATTCCTGCTCTCTTCTGTGACGCCAGCTCCAACACCCTAGGCAGAATTATTTTCTTTGTCCTTTGAACTCCTACGAATCCTAACTTGTCCTGGCACTTACCTGTGGCCTAGTTCTCCCAACCTGGACTTTGAATTTCTCAAAGACAGGAAAATGTCTTATTTATCTTTTGATCCTCAGGGCCTAGCACAGGGCTTTCGCATAAGGTAGGTGCTCATTAAACATGTTTAAATGCACAATTCAATGTGATCTTAAGATATAATGTGAATGTAAGATATGTTATACTCATTATCTAGCATCATCTAGCATTTCAAGAGCCAATCAGGCTACAGATAGAATGGATAAATGAATTCTAAACATAATTCTCAAGCCTTATTTTCACACAGCTTTACATCTCTCTATTCTTTCATCTCCCTTTTGTATGGTTCTTCATAAGCTTTGAGAAAAGACCAAAAAGGAGACAATAGTCTTGCAAAAGACAAAGTGCCAATTCCAGCAGTCTCCAAACTTTTTGGTACCAGGGACAGATTTTGTGGAAGACAATTTTTCCATGGACATGGGTGGGGGTGATGGAGTGGGGTGTGAATGGTTCAGGCTGTAATGCAATAGATGGGGAGTAGAAGATGAAGCTTCACTCACACACCTCCTGCTGCGCAGCCCACTTCCTAAAAGGCTACGGACCACTAACGGTTGGGGACCCCTTGCCTAGACAAGTATCTGACCAAGCAAGAGTAAAATGTGCTGAATTCCTTGAGCCTGATTGCTCTTAGTCATTTTTTATTATGAAAGTTCAGTTTCCCCAGCTAGATTCCAAGATGTTTGGAGTTATTTTGTTTCTTTAGTATGCTTATTAAATTGTTGTTGTTGTTGTTTAGTTGCTAAGTCATGTCTGACTCTTGGGATTCCCTGGTGGCTTAGCAGGTAAAGAATTGCCTGCAAAGCAGGAGATGCAGCAGATGTGGGTTCAACCCCTGGGTTGGGAAGATCCCCTGGAGAAGGGCATGGAAACCCATTCCAGTATTCTTGCCTGGAGAATCCCATGGGCAGAGGAGCCTGGCAGGCTTTAAGAATACTGGAGTGGGTTGCCATTTCCTTCTGCAAGGGATCTTCCCGACTCAGGGATCAAACCCATGTCTCCTGCATTGCAGGTGGATTCTTCACCACTGAGCCACCAGGGAAGCTCATGCTTATTAAATTAGTTACTGATTTAATGACCATTTCAATTTTTTCTGGGTAATGCCTATCACTAAGTTTTGATAATGTGATAAAACTGGCAAGAAAAAATGAAGTGATTTTAAGATTTTTGAGCCTTGAGAAGGGAAAGCTAGAGATAAAATGTTCTATTGATATTCTTCTGCCCTGTATTTATGTTAATGGTTATTTTGTTCTGTTATGATATATAGAGATTTTCAATTAGTATAATTTTCAGACAAGATTCAATTGGACTTTTTACTTTTAAAATCTTTAAATTTAATTAGTGCTGTTGATAGCATGCATCAGGCACTCAAGAAATACTTTAGGCCATTCAATATTGACTTAATGTTTAGAAATAATCAGAAACATTAAAGAAAACTTGATTTTTATCTTTTAAATTTCAGTTTGTGCCATGTTCTCCCAGCCATGCTTCTGTCAGTCACCTCCATCAAATCAAACAGGTAGGAAGTTTTGAAAAACTGACAGCTGTTCATTAAAAAAAAGTAAATTCTGTTTTTCTTTTAAAAATACCTATGGTCAAATAATTCTAAGTGAGGTCACAAGTGATTAAATTTTTAATGCCAGGAATGGTTTCTTTAAAAAAAGCAAAAACACCAAAATCCAAAACAACTAAGGAGACCTCTATTTATTTGGGTTATTAACTATTTTAATAAATTGATAGTTTCCTGAAATACCGCATACCCTTTGACCTTGAATCTAGCTTCTTCAAGGGATCTCAAAGATGATGAAGGCTATATATGGAAATTAATTTTCAAGCTCATAATAGTCATAGTTTATCATGGTTTTCTTAATCCCAGATGAAGAAATATTTTGACACATTTAATGATCTTTATGCTATTGCTTTGTGTTCACTTCTCAGTGATCTGAGTTCAGGGACACAGTCTATCTGTCTTATGTTGTATGTGTGTGTGTTTAATAGTAAAAGCCTAATACAGAACTAAATCTTTGATTTTTCCAAGGTTTAGCCACCGAATTCAAAAGATTAAATCACCATTCCTCCAGGAGTGGTGGATTTTTTTTTTTCACCCAACTACAAGCAAACTTTTGTTTAAGTAGGGGAGCTTAACTGTTATTAAGCACTCATTATTCACTTAGCAATATAATAGGTCCCATCTGTGAGCTCATTTCACCCTACAAGAAACTTACAAGGTGAGAAACCAAAGATGTTCAGCATTAACAAATATCAAGCCAAGACTTAGCCCCAAATTATTGAATTCTTTCACAGCTACTCTCACCAAGTTCCAGTGGCACAAAACCCAAACTGTCCTGTGACCCTAGGTTTTATTTCTCCAGCTCCTGCTTCCTCTCCCTCTCTCTCTCTTGCCATGGCTTCCTAGGCCCCACTTATCATCCACTAGCAATAAAGTATGGCTTAAAGGATTCTTTTACTTTTTAATGAATAAGACATTCTTTTGCTGTTTGTCTTTGTGAGTATGTAGCCATTTAAGACATTCTTAATGAAAGAACCTAAAGCTAGTAGTTAAAGTGACCTCTGGTTTATTTGTGCAATTTTTTTTCTTCCTCTAAATTAGACCAAATATTTAAAAATTGATTATATGTTTCTATCTGATTATGAAGCTTGAAAGTCAGGACTAATTTAACTGGTTGGTAATATAAACTGTAAAGCAACTTACTTCTAGAGTGGCAGAATATATATTATAAACATTTAAAATGAAACACAAGTGGTGGTCATTTTTGTAATATACGGAAATATTGAATTGCTCTGTTGTACACCTGGAACTAACATAGCATTGTAGGTCAATTATACTTCAGTAAAAAATAAATTAAAACTTTTAAAATTTAAATAAAATTATTAAAAAAATTAAAACTAAAATAAAATGAAGCATAAGTAGAAAATGAATGAAATGGGAAAATAGAAACAACATTAACTTTCAATCTGGGTGCTGACTGAGTGGAAAATTAAGGCTTATTTTCAGCAGTTTAATGGTCTGATAAATATCTTAAGTTGCATATTTCTTTACATGTATTCTTTAACCATGACTTCTTTTTAGCTATTAAACTTAACCTTTTAGGTACAAAACAGAAATGTGTGTTTCTTGCCTCATTACATTTTGAACTTTCACTCTGACATTAACAAAGGCAATTATTTAATTTCATTTTGTTTTTTAGTAAAATGGGGGAACTAATAGTAGCTACATTGTAGGATTATTGTGAGGATGAAAAGATTTAATATATGTGTGGTGCCTGGCACACTACATTAAAAGTTGTTTAATGGAAATTTAAAAACACACAAAAAAGAACCTCCATGTATTCAGTATCCAGCTTTAACTATTGATTACATTTTGTACATCATTTTTCAACTATCCCCTTTTATTTTGGGGGCAGGAGGGTGCTTTAAAGTAGATCTCTGATATCTCTTTAACCTTAAATACCCTGTATGAATCTGAGGATGTTTTATTTCACATAAGCACAATGCCATCATCACATCTAACAGAGTTATTCTTTAATTTTATTGAATAACCAGTCCATGTTAAATTTTCCTGATTCTCAAAAAAAATGCCCTTTTCACTGATTCAAACATGTTCCAGCCATGATCTTTTAGGTCACTTGTATTTAAAACAACCTTCCTCTCCTGATTTTGTTCCATGCCACTTACTTATTGAAGAAACCAGGCCATTCGTCTTGTGAAAAAGCCCCACATTTTGATTCTGCTTCCATGTAACAGTGTTTCATATACTCTTTTGTTCCTTGTATTTCCTACAAACTGATTTGATTATACTTGCATTTATTTTAAGATAAGCACACAGCCCCAAGTTAATATTAGGTTCTGGGTCAACATTTAATTAAGGGTATGGTTTAAGTTACCCTTTTCTTACTAGGCAGTTAATGGACAATTTCTCCTTGACTCTAGTTGTTAGTTGTTTTCTAAGCATTAGAGAGCTTGAGAACATCAAGTGAGAAGTTAATTTTCTTTTTTTTTTTCAGCTCTGAGATATAATTGACATATAACATTGTGTAAGCATAAGGTCTATAATGTAATAATTATACATATATATGTATATGTATTGCAAACCTGTCAGTCCTAAAGGAAATCAGCCCTGAATATTCATTGGAAGGACGATGCTGAAGCTGAAGCTCTGGTACTTTGGCCACCTGATGCGAAGAGCTGACTCATTGGAAAAGACCCTGATGCTGGGAAAGATGGAAGGCAAAAGGAGAAGGGGGTGGCAGAGGGATGAGATAGTTAGATAGCACCACTGACTCAATGGACATGAATTTGAGCAATTCCAGGAAATAGTGGAGGACAGACAAGCCTGGTATGCTGTAGCCCATGGGGTCACAAAGAGTTGGACGTGACTTAGAGACTGAACAACAACAAAGCAATGACATTAGATTTCTGTGAGTTGGTTTTGAGTTTTCCTTGGAACCTGCAAAGTACCTACTGTCTCTTACTTCTCTAAGGGAATAGCTTAACTTATTTTAAAGAAACTTAATTTGATCTTAGTTTGCAAATTATTTTATTCTTTCAACAAGAATTCATTGAGCAATGTGCCATTGGGCAACTAAAATCTCTCAGGCATACTCTCCTTCAGAGAGCAAAAGTGGGTGACTTACTATTTTCTTTTCAGATACTAAGGGACTGAAAGCCAACTTCAGTGCTCAAGTGCAGGAAATCTCCTTAACCTAGGTTTCTACCATATAGTACTCTTTGCCCTTGACAGTTGCCTAGCTTTTGACCTTTTATCCTTATTTTAACAATCTTATTTTATTATAAACTATCTCATATCCATTTTAGAAATAGGCAAGATATAAATAATAGAAGTGTCAACCCACTTTTATTAACGATCCTAAGATAGTTGATGTTGGGGAATGCTCCAACTTTCTTTTTTTTTCACTTATTTTTATTAGTTGGAGGCTAATTACTTTACATCATTGCAGTGGTTTTTGTCATACAGAAATGAATTAGCCATGGATTTACATGTATTCCCCATCCCGGTCCCCCCTCCCACCTCCCTCTCCACCCGATCCCTCTGGGTCTTCCCAGTGCACCAGGCCCGAGCACTTGTCTCATGCACCCAACCTGGGCTGGTGATCTGTTTCACCCTAGATAATATACATGTTTCGATGCTGTTCTCTTGAAACATCCCACCCTCGCCTTCTCCCAGAGTCCACAAGTCTGTTCTATACATCTGAGTCTCTTTTTCTGTTTTGCATATAGGGTTATCGTTACCATCTTTCTAAATTCCATATATATGTATTAGTATACTGGAGTGGTGTTTATCTTTCTGGCTTACTTCACTCTGTATAATGGGCTCCAGTTTCATCCATCTCATTAGAACTGATTCAAATGCACCATGGAATATTGCTCCAACTTTCAATGGGAGAAACAATAAGCAAAATTCTGCCCTACTTCTGGGAAAACTTGCTCTTTACTTGTGAATTGAGTGAATTACAAAATACTTTGAGCTTCTCACTATACAAAAGCATCTAAATAAATGTTAAATGGAAGAACTATGCTAACAATTACATTTTGTTGAAAATGTGATTCCATTGTTTTAAAAGACTGATTAACTTCTTGAACTTCCTTTCCCAATTTCCCTCATTTTCCATAATGGCATCAAAATAGTCTCCCAGTTTTAAGATTCAGAGCCCTAGGTTCATCTTCAGTTCTTCCTTATTTTTCTACTGTATCCTATTAAGCATCTAATCCTATTAATTCTTCCTTGACAATATCTTCTCTGTTCCCATTGCTACTTTCTTCTGTCCCTTGGGTCTAGATTACTGTAATAATATTCTAATTATATTCTAATAGATTTCCTACCTCTGCTAGTTTAATCTGACTTTCACAAACAACACCAAAGTAGCTTTTTTTTAAAAACAACATTATTTTCACCTTTTTATCTCCTGTGTAAAAAGTTAGAATGGCTTCCCATTACCTTTTGAGTACTAATAAGAAGAGATAGGCTGTATTGAGCACTTACTATGTGCCAGACCTTTTAAAAGGAACTGTACAACCACCTCATTACCCTTATTATTATCATTATCATCTTCATAGGATCAAGAAACTGAGGCTCAGGTTAAGCTGTTTGCCTAAGGTCACACAGATATTAAGTTATAGAGTTGGGATTTGACTCAGTTCTGTTTGGCTCCAGAATCTGTGGTCCTAACAACTATGCTATTCTGCCCAAACTTGTTAAATTAAAAATCTTCAATTATTTAAGATTCTATAAATCTGGTGCTCTCTTACCACTCCAGGTTTCCTTCTTGTTTATAGTGCAAATTCTTTTCCAGCCAAGCTAGTCTCACTATTCTCCAACCTGCATATTCTTTCTCTCCTCTAAATTTTGTTCATATGATTCCTTCTGCTTTTTGGTGTCATATCCAAAAAATCATTGCCAAGTCCAATGACACGAAGCTTTTTCCCTGTTTTCTTCTAAGAGTTTTATAGTTTTACTTTTAGGTCTTTGGTCCATTTTGAGTTAATTTTTGTATATAGTGTAAGAAAGAGTTCAACTTCATTCTTTTGTATGTGGATGTTCAGTTTTCCAAGCACTATTTTCTGAAAAGATCATTCTTTCCCCCTTTGAATGGTCTTGGCATCCTTGTTGAAAATCAATTGACCATATATCCAAGGGATTATTTTTAGGCTCTCTCTATTCTATTCCATCATTCTGTATGCCTCTCCTTATGCCGGAATGACATTGTTTTAATTACTGTAGCTTTGTGTAGTGAATTTTGAAATCAGGTAATATAAGTCCTCCAAAGTTTATTCTTCTTTCTCAAGATCATTTTTATATTTCTGCAAAAAAATGCCATTGAGGTTTTGATGGGCATTGCCTTGCATCTGTAGATCACATTGGGCAGTATTGCCTTTTTAACAATATTGTCTTTCAATCCACAAACACAGGATGTCTTTCCATATGTGGGTTATTTTTAAAGTAACTATTTATGTAAAAAACACACATTATAAAAAGATCAAACAATATGTTAAAGTACAGAGAAAGAAATTAAAAGACACTTGCTCCTTGACAGAAAAGCTATGACCAACCTAGACAGCATATTAAAAAGTAGAGACATTACTTTACCAACAAAAGTCTGTATAGTCAAAGCTATGGTTTTTCCGGTAGTCATGTATGGATGTGAGAGTTGAACCATAAAAAAGACTGAATGCCAAAGAATTAATGCTTTTGAGCTGTGGTGTTGGAGAAGACTCTTGAGAGTCCCTTGGACTGCAAGGAAATCAAACGCAGTCAATCCTAAAGGAAACCAGTCCTGAATATTCATTAGAAGGACTGATCCTGAAGTTGAAGCTCCAGTACTTTGGCCACCTGATGCAAAGAGCTGATTCACTAGAAAAGACCCTGAAGCTGGGGAAGATTGAAGGCAGGAGGAGAAGGGGACAACAGAGGACAAGATGGTTGGATGGCATCACTGATTCAATGGACATGGGTTTGAGCAAGCTCCGGGAGTTGGTGAAGGACAGGGAAGCCTGGCGTGCTTCAGTCCATGGGGTCACAAAGGGTCGGACATGACTGAGCGACTGAACAATAACAACAGAGAAAGAAAGAACAAATTGCCACGAACCTCACTACACATTGATAAGGACTGCTAACTTTTGAGGAAACATCCTTCTGAGCACCTCTCATCTAAAATTTTACATAAAAATAACTTGTGGCTTTTTCCTACTTAATATGTAATAGATGTTTTTCAATGTCAATGACTAGATTTAAATCATGCTTGTACCATCATTTGCTTAAGCAAACCCATGCTGAAAGACATTTAGTTTGATGGGCTCTGAGTAATATTTATTAATATCATAGTATTAGTGGTTGAAAAAATAGTTTGATGTTTGATGTTTTCTCTTTTGAATGAAGAGAGATACTAGTTTTTCGTCTAATCAATTCCTGCATATCCAGTGTCCTATATAAAGCATAAGTAATAGATCTCAGGTGCAGTAGGTGCAACAGTGAAAAGCAGAGAACCAGATACTTGTTTAGAGAGTTGTTTATACTCTACTATACTCTATACCTCAGTGAATAATAATAAATGTACAACCAAATGAAATAAAACTTTGTAAAATCACAGGAACTGGGTATTCAGTTTATTCTCCTTTCACCTTTCAGGAAGAAAGCATGAGTTTAAAGCAATGCAAGAATGGTGAGTAGCGTACATTGAATTTCTGTTGTACACATATTCAGTTATATCTTTTTTTAGATAGGCAAACTTCAGTTCTAATGTCTTTTTTTTTTGCAGGGAGGTACAAAATGCAATACAGCTAGGTCAATCTTGGAAAGAAAATTTGAGCCTAGTATGGTATTACCCCTTTAATTTTGTAGAAAATTTGAAATTTTTACTGATTTTTAATGTTGGCGCTACCTAGTTTTGCTATAATTTCTAGAAATTTAAACTCTCATTTGAAACTAAAATTATATATGCTGCATAACTTTTATTGCTTTTAAGAAACAGTTTATGATTTACCCATAAAGTAACTAATTGTTTGAGAGTGGGGTTCAAAATCAGTGGTTGTCTTATACAAACACCATTGTTCCTGTGGACCAATTTCCTTTCTGTCCTAGTGAGTCTAAAAGAAGTTCAGTTGTGCTGATTGAATGCTTAGATGAAAAAGTTATAAATGATTTTGCCCTTCTATGTAATTTATTGACAATATGTTTGAGTTTTAAACCACAGTCAATGGATTTACTGGGAAAATACTGCATTTTTATGCCTGTAACACATATACTCCTACTAACATTGTAATGTACAGCCTTTAATTTAAACATGTTGCATGTTTTAAAGGTAGTTACAACCCTTGCTAACATTTTTAAATGTCCCTGAACATATTATAATTATTCAGTTGTGGTAGTTGAGTGAGTTTTCCATGAACATCTTTAGTGTTCTTTTCCATGGGTATCTCAGACAATGACAGAGTAAGAATTGAGCTGAAATTTGAGTAGAAGAGATTCTGCTTAGATGTCAGTTTCTAGATTTGGGGATTATTAGGTAGGGAAATGAATTATCAGCAGAAGCAGTGACATCTTATTTTCTTTTGAGCTCAGACTGCCTTAGATGGGCATCTGTCTTTGATTTAGGAATAAGTCCTGAAGAAAGAGGGCTTCCCAGGTAGTGCTAGTGGTAAAGAACCCACCCGCCAATGCAGGAGATGTAAGAGATGTGGGTTTGATCTCTGGGTCAGAAATATCCCCTGCAGGAGGCCATGGCAACTCACTCCAGTATTCTTGCTTGGAGAATCCTATGGACAAAAGAGCCTGGTGGGATCCATAGCGTCACAGAGACATGACTGAAGCAACTTATCACAGCATAGCACCTGAAGAATGAATAGATAACCTCTGCAGGCTGTAATTTTTCATGTTTTGGTACTAAAACAATTTTTAGAGGCTGTTAGAGTCCTTTAACTAACTCAATTCTAATTACTTTAGGTGTTGGTATGAGTGAGTGAGTAAATCGCCAGGTGTGTTAGAAGGAAGAAACACGTAATATAACTTTACTTGTGTCTTGGAGAAGAAAAGGGCATATTTTAAAGTCCTGAATTGTGCAGTCCTGATTTTGTCCATGTAAAAAAAAAAATCTATAAACATTTTTATAGCTGTTTATTTTTGCTGTCCCATTTGTATCTTAGTTTTAACCAAATCTTTTTTGATCCTTTCCTGGACAAGTACTGTAGTTTTCGATAATAAAGCACAGGTCAAATCCAAAGAGAAAGATTGAAATTTAGGATTTGTGTATATATTAAGTATTGCTCAATGTTGAGTACCCACATTCTAGGTCTTTTTGGAGGTGTGAGGGAAACCCCTCATCAGGAATGTAGCTCCCTTTCCCAAAATGTTCCTTTGCTTATTGAAGTGAATCTTGGGTTCCCTGCTTGCTTTAAGATGATGAGAGCTCCATGGTACAACTACTAATGCAGTAAGGATTCTCTTCCCCATGCCATATCTGTCACTCTCAATATTTGATAAGTAAGTAATAGGTGCTACAGTTGTTCACTGCTTTCTGTTTATACAGAGTAACAACGAGGTAGAGAAACCATCTCCTGCAAACTGCACTGATTTAATTCCAGCATCTGCAGCAGCTTCTCTCACCGAGGTGACTGGCAAGATAAGAAAGGAGTGTCTAAAAGTCTGTGTCCCTTGAAATATTTGTAAGACTTAAATGTTTCACTTTTGAGGGATATATTTTGCTATAGTATGTCTGATTCTAAATGACAGTCTTTCCTTCCTTTTCATTTCTTAAACTATTATCTACATATTACAAAAGTCACCAACTTTTAGGTACATGATTTGATTAATTTTGGTAATTGTGTACAATCCTGTAACTGTAACCATAATCAAGATATAGAACAATTTTCACACTCTAAACAGTTTCCTCATGATCTTTTGCACTTGATCTCCTTCCCCACCACCTCCACCCACTCTGGGAAACCACTGATCTGCTTTCTGAGAAAAGTGGTGGTTTTAAAACCTCTGTTCCAATTCGGTGTTAGCAATGTTTTTCTCCATCACTACAAACTTGTGTGAGTTGCACCGGCTTGCCTCCATGTCCTATTCCTAGTCCTATGCAATGATTTACAATGTAAGTTTCTATTGTATGAAAATACCAAATTGCTTATAAAACAAGAATTTGAGAAAACTTAAAAGAAATTATACCAAGTTCAATCCCTGGCTGGGAAACTAAGATCCTGCAAGCCACAAAGTACAGCCAAAAAAAAAAAAAAAATAGATCCAGGTTCCATGACAACCGAAAAAGTAATGTCTTCTTAGCTAAATTAAAATGCTATTGTTTTGGTTTATCATTTTGTATTATTGAAAAGAGTCAAGTGACTAAGAACATGTGAGAACATGTGAACATATGAAGAATCAGTAATTCATTAACACTGTCTGACATAGTTTTCCTTTCACTCGGCTCGTTCATAAGGATCAGAGTTAACTCTTAAATGAACTTTTAACAACTATACCCTCTCATTCATTCATGATTTTCACCTGGACTCAAGACAGGTCGGAGCCAGGACTGTGGGTCCTTCTAGCTTTTCCCCCCACAACTTGGGAAAATCCTGAATCCTTATAAATTACAAGTCAGTTTGCTGTCCTGCGGCTTTCCTGTTTTTACCTACATTTAGAGACAAGCAATGAAATCATGTATTGTGGGATGCTACATAGAGTTCTCTTTTAGTGTATATCTTTAGATCTGTTATAATGAAATAATCACAGCTGATCTTATTTAAATGTTTTCTTATAATGATTATGATAATTTTATTTTAGAAGTCAAAGTGCTGCCAATACCATTAGATAAAGTGTCCTTGGCCCACTTTAAGAAAAGGTACTTTTATCTACCAACAGAAATAAGTATAACTTATTATTTTTGTAAGATATCATATAAAATCAAGTATTATACATAAATTCATTTAAGAGGATTTATTTATTTAAAATATATTTGATAAATTACTAGAGGCCATTTGTCTTACTTAAATGAAACTATATGTAAAGACATTTTGAGAGCTATCAAGTGCCATATAAATGTGAATTGAAAACTTCAATTCCAGTTTAGTCAACTAGTTGCCTTCTGAAACAAGGTGGGGAATGAATAAACAGTGAATCAGTCATCAAGTATCCTGCTGAATCTCAACCCCTGCGCTGCCCTGCCACCACACATACACATTAATATCATATGAATAAGTTGACACAAATTAGATGCACTTACAACACTAAAAGTATATACTAATGTGTATGTCCTTTGATGGTTAACTTGTTTATGTGGGCTATTTTTGGTTAAATATATGGAAAATGACCCACCTACTCAGTAATAAAAGGATAGGGAAAGAACAGCAGTTTTTTTTTTTTTTTTAAACTCCTACAGTCCTGGATCCCTTTTCTCATCCCTGCCTCACTAAGCTATTTATTTCCTTTTTTTTTTCTTGATATAACTACTGAATTATAGGCTTAGTACAAAGCTTAACTATAGTAGGGAGGGGGAAATGGATAAATGGGAAAGGACAGTAAACTTAAAAATGTATATTTGTGAAAAATCCATTAAGATGGGAAAGAAAAAGGAGAAAGAACAAGAAATGGAAGGGGAGAGGTAAAGGAAGGAGAAGGAGGAACGTAAAACTAGAGAGAAGGAAACTGAAATGGACTGCAGTGTTCCATGCATTTGCCATAAATTAGTGGCAGTCTTCCTAACAACATAACAGACTCAGCGTGTTCTCATTATGTTCTAAGACTTAGAAGAGAATGGCTTCCCTGGTGGCTCAGCGGTAAAGAATCCCCTGGCCACCACAGGAGACGTGTTCGATCTCTGGGTCAGGAATTTCTCCTGGAGAAGGAAGTGGCAACCCACTCCAATATTCTTGCCTGGGAAATCCCATGGACAGAGGAGCCTGGTGGGCTATAGTCCATGGGGTCACACAAAGGTCAGACACAACTTAGCGACTAAACACACACAATAAGTCATAAACTTGATCATCAGTTTTACTCACATTCAGACCTGGTTATCACGTTAATGTGTAACATTTCCTTCAAAGTAAGGTTTTAACAATGCAGTTTTCTGTGATTAAATGTTTTCCATAGTATTGAAAAAATATATTTGTTTATTGTATTCTACAAAAAATCCATCTACTTAGTTCATTGTGTATGTTTAGCAAAATAAGGATAGCAATAACTTGAAGTTTTAAAATAAGGAATGAGGTTAAATTATGGTATATCCTTAATACAAAGCTTTATAAACATATGTAGAATTTAGTTAATAATATGAGAAAAATTATAATCATAAAAAAGATTACATATCACATTATTTACAGTGCAAATCCAATTTTGTTCAAAAAAACAATTATGTATACACACATATTCAGGAACTACTGAAAACAGTGATCTCTGGATAATTGCAATGTAAAAAATTTTCCTTTTGTTTTTCTTTTATAAATTAATTGCAATGAACAAGTTTTACTTTTTCAGTTGAAAGCATAATAGACACATTAGATAAAATATATCCACCTTGATATGCATTCTTTGTCATAGGTGAAATGACGCCTGATTACCATCCAAAGAGAATTTTCCAAGACTCAACCAACATGCTTTCTTCTGATACTAATCCCAGTGTTTAATAGGAATGTGTGGTAAGTATTAACATTAGACTTCGGCCACTTTTGGTTTTTCTGTCTACTTTGGCTATTGTACGTATTCAAAAGTGTGGTATATTATGAAATATTTTTAGTAAGTTTTATAAAATGACTATCCCAAATGGATACTATTAAATTTAGTTCTTCTACCCAACACTTAGTATATGGTAGACACATTTTTAGAAGTGGGCTTTTGGCATTAGATTAAGAGGTATTAGAGAAATATTAATACATAAAAATGCAAGCTTGGGAAAGAGTCATCTGCCCATCTTTTCTAACTTGGATTTTTGTGTACTTTGTTAGGCTGAGCATGTGATTTAAAAGTGTGCCAAGAAAGCAATTTTTCATAATCAAAATGGAAAATACAGTGAATGGATTTTTATTATCATTACTGTTGGTTTTGTTTTACTCCTCTTATGAAACTGCTGCTGTAACCAGTGCCAATCCCTTGTTTATTTTGCATTCATTTGTACACAAAGTGCAGAGATCTCTTGAATTCTGTTATCAATAAGTGGCATTTTCTTTTCCTAATCTATCCTCACATGTTCTTGATAGAAACAACAGCAGTGCAGGATCATCTCATAATTCACCAGCTAAAATCAGCACTGTCACAAACTCTCATGTGTTGCCTTCTGATTCTAGTTTTCCATTTATTGCAATTGATGAACTTTCAACGAAATGATTCACTCATCCCAAGACTTTCTCCCCAGTGGAGAAACACACATGCACTCATTTGCTTGATCTCTCTCTCTCACACACACACACACATGTTGGATCAGTAACAGAATTGTCTGTGATATAATTGACTATTTCTTATTTATCCTTTTTTCTCAATTTCCTAAAATTCTATTTATCTATAGAACTTGCATGTCTAATTCCTGTGTATGCTCTTAAAAGCAATGTAGTAACTTTCAAAGATATTTTCCAAACAAGACGTATCTTTAAGATACAATTATACATCTTCAGGTTGCTAATATATAGAAACACGCTGCACCTTGACTTTAAAAAAAAACTGAGAGTTCTATTTATTTATGTGAATAAAAAATAAAATTTACATTCTAATGAAATATAATTGTTCCATTAATAAACAGGTAAAATGATTTTGAAAATTATGTGCTGAATATTTATGCTAGTTTTTTTTTAGCATTTTCAGTAATTGCTAGTTTCCATTCTGTAAAGAAAAATCATCTATCAAAAACAGTTTTAAAAACTAAGCTAGTTATACCATACTGATCCAAGGATTGCCAATTTTTCACATGAATCCTTGGATGTTTAATTTGTTGGGAAGAAATATGTAGGGGAGGCAAGATGAATGGAAGCTAATTGAATAGCAAGAAAATAATATGTAATTGGGGCTTCACTCAATTTGTACTTAACCTGATTATCCCTGATCAATTTTGTGTTCTAATTAAGTGTGAAAAAAGACAATGTGGATAAATTGTGGTCTTTTACATTCTATGAATTACCTTGTATTCATCATCATGACTACTGATTTGATTAAATACAGGCTTAATATGTTAGGGCTTTTCTGCAAGAATCATGTGCTTCCAGTTGTTCCCAAAGGGTTATAAAGATTTGTTTAAAACCCAATTTTCTCTTCAAAAGTCTTAAGGATTTTTTAAATAAGAAAAATCATCTGTTAAAAATTTTAAATCTAAAGTAAGTGCTCTAGGTAATTGGGGCTAGTATTAGCATTTTGAAAAATAGAAATGTGTTATATCTTCATGAAATAAAGTTGAGAATTGGTTTAAATTTCCTCAGCTAATGAAGGTAGAAATGGTTATCTAAAATATTTATTAAATGTTTTTCTTTGTCATTAGAACTAATCAGAATGATTGAAATCTGATGTATGTGTATCCCACGTGGGAAAAAGATAGGCATCAAGAATCTTTTGTCAATAGCCCTGATGGAATTGATTGGAATGGATATATATCGTGTGTGTGGGTAGGGGGAGAAGGGCAGATTCTATTCACCAATGGGTAAATGAAACTGAATATTTCTGAGATGACTGGGATCATCCTGAAACTGGGATAGGATTCTACAAATTGACTTAGGACACGTGAACTATGAATATTGCCTTTGTTATTTAGCTTCTTGCCAGACTTTAGTTGATGAGTTGTGAACATATAAGGGACCTCTCACAGAATGAGGTATGATTGCAGTGATGTTACTTGCTGAAATTATATATTATTGACAAAAAAAAGGTCCCCATGCATTATTTGACAGTTCAGCCAAAAAAAAAAAAGTTTTTCAGAATGGAAAAAGGATGGAGAAAGTAAGCAATGAGGGTGAGACTATAACTCAGTGTGTGAGGAACTTTCATCCAGAAATCTTGATAATCTTGACTATATCATCCTAATACACTTTTTTTCAACTCAGACAATTTCTTTCACTCTATTTTCTTAGTTTTTATTGTTTTAGTTGAATCCTAGGGTGCCACAACTCACTATAATATGCTCAGAATTGAGGACCTTGTGGTTGGTTTTCCATTCTATTACCTTTTGAACTTGTATATTGGGAGGCTCCATTTCTTAAATGATTTTCCATTTATTAATTTTCAGATCAAGGCAATTCTAAGTTTTACATGAGATATTTTGTGGTTAAGTTTTAAATATTATAATAAGACTATGTTTTGTAATTCTAAACATGCCGAGGAACTGCCATACCAATTTTCCACAGTGAAGGACATGTACTAGTTTCCTAGGCTACAATAACAAAGTACCACAAATTGGGTAGCCCAAAATAATAGAAATGGATTGTATCTGTAGAGACCCTATTTTCAAATAAGGTCACATTAAGAGGTGCAGGGAGTTAGAATTTCACCATTATCTTTCTGCGGACATAATTCAACCCACAACAGGATGGTTTTGGAATTTTTGATTGTTCCAATTATTTTAAATTAGTTTCTTAAATCACCTATCTTATAACTCATCTTTAAAAATGTGAGAACAAGAGGTGATCATATTGTACCTGTGTTTGTATGTCTTCTTATACATTTAAATATATATTATAAATGTATATATGTGTACATATATGGTAGTTTTCACATTGTCAGTAAGAGGATAAATGAAAGTGGAAATATGTTTTTCAAATATTTTAAAAGCATCATTTTTAATCCTTAAATATGTGTTCATGTTCAATCACGTATTCCTATTTTACTTATAACCTTCTAAAAGAGAAGTACTCAAATTTATCCTAACATGAAAACTCACTGCAGTAATAAGTTAGATTCTCAGATCAGGAAAAAGATATGGTTCTTCAAATTTATAATGACTAAATCAACTAATTGAGTTTGAAATATCAAGTATATTCAATAAGTATTGAATATTTTCTGTGTACACAAACCATGCTTAAAACTGTATATAAAAATGAGTGAGATACCTTTCCTATTGTCAAGCAGGATAAGTGTGAAAATAATGATACAAGGTAGTCTAAGATAGTATGACCATAAAAACATACATGAAAAGATCTCTGTACTATAAAAGTAGGAGAGAGAGACAATAGTGAAATCACAGAATCTTAGAACTTAAAGCAGTTTCACTTCAGTTGCTCAGTCATGTCTAACTCTTTGTGACCCCATGAACTGCAGCACGCAAGGCTTTCCTGTCCATCACCAACTCCCAGAGCTTGCTCAAACCCATGTCCATTGAGTCAGTGATGCCATCCAACCATCTCATCCTCTGTCGCCCCCCTCTTCTCCTGCCCTCCATCCTTCCCAGAATCAGGGTCTTTTCCAATGAGTCAGCACTTCGCATCAGGTGGCCAAAGTATTGGAGTCTCAGTTTCAGCATCAGTCCTTCCAATGAACATTCAGGACTGATTTCCTTTAGGATGGACTGGTTGGATCTGCTTGCAGTCCAAGGACCTCTCAAGAGTCTTCTCCAACACCACAATTCAAAAGCATCAATTCTTTGGTGCTCGGCTTTCTTTATAGTCCAACTCTCACATCCATACATGACTACAGGAAAAACCATAGCTTTGACTAGACAGACCTTTGTTGGCAAAGTAATGTCTCTGCTTTTTAATATGCTACCTAGGTTGGTCATAGCTTTTCTTCCAAGGAGTAAGCATCTTTTAATTTCATGGCTGCAGTCATCATCTGCAGTGGTTTTGGAGCCCAAGAAAATAACGTCTGTCACTGTTTCCATTGTTTCCCCATCTATTTGCCATGAAATGATGGGACCGGATGCCAGGATCTTCATTTTTTGAATGTTGAGTTTTTAAAATTTTTTAAATTTTTAATTTTTTTAAAATTTTTTGAATGTTGAATTTTAAGCCAACTTTTTCACTCTCCTCTTTCACCTTCATCAAGAGGCTCTTTATTTAGTTCATCTTTGCTTTCTTCCATAAGGGTGGTATCATCTTCATATCTGAGATTATTGATATTTCCCCTGGCAATCTTGATTCCAGCTTGTGCTTCATCCAGGCCAGCATTTCGCATGATGTTCTCTGCATATAAGTTAAATAAGCAGGGTAACAATATACAGCCTTGCTGTACTCCTTTCCCAATTTGGAACCAGTCTGTTGTTCCATGTCTGGTTCTAACTATTGTTTCTTTACCTGCATACAGGTTTCTCAGGAGGCAGGTAAGGTGGTCTGGTATTCCTATCTCTTGAAGAATTTTCCATAGTTTGTTGTGATCCACACAGTCAAAGGCTTTAGCATAGTCAATAAAGCAGAAGTAGATGTTTTTTCTGGAGTTCTTTTGTTTTCTATATGATACAATGGATGTTGGCAATTCAATCTCTGCTTCCTCTGCCTTTTCTAAATCCAGCTTGAACATCTGGAATTTCTCGGTTCACATACTGTTGAAGCTTAGCTTGGAGGATTTTGAACATTACTTTGCTAGCATGTGAGATGAGTGCAACTGTGCGGTAGTTTGAATGTTCTTTGGCATTGTCTTTCTTAGGGATTGGAATGAAAACTGACCTTTCCAGTCCTGTGGCCACTGCTGAGTTCTCCAGTTTTCCAAATTTGCTGGCATATTGAGTGCAGCA